GTGTGTGTGTGTGTGAGAGAGAGAGAGAGAGAGAGAGAGAGAGAGAGAGAGAGAGAGAGAGAGAGAGAGAGAGAGAGAGAGAGCAGCCCTAGCCAGTGAAAACTTTCTTTGCACTGGATGGTTTCTTAGCCCAATTGTTGCATGTTGCTCAGGGAGGCAGGGTGCTCAATTCTACATCAGCTTTTTGAGCCTTTTTCTGGATGATGGATGAAAGTACTTCAACTCTTGAAATTCGTAATAGACAAACCGGTGAGAGGGCTACCCTTCTGACAAGGTGATTGACACAAAATGTGCAAGGACTAAAAAATTGTACAGAGCACACTTTCTTCCAACAGCAAGCCAGATTCACACGGAAGACAGACTGTGCATACAACATCCCTGTCATTGTTCCCTCCAAATCGATGCCTGACATTCGCCGCATCGCCACAAGCAATGCAGCAGAGCTTCGAAACAAACAATGTCGCATCATAACACAAACATCCAGAAACCAAACAGGGAAAAGAAAACGAACGAAAAATTACAAAAATACTATAAAACCCTAACGTAAAAACACTTTCCGAGTTAAAATAAGCATATAACGATTTCAATGAAATGCCAACTTTTTCATTATTGATCCCAATAGGATAAAAACTGAGTACACGATGTATCCTAAAGCTTATACATACCACACAAAAGAAAGTTGAAAAACGAAAAAAATCAGGGCAGTATGACAGTTTCGGTGCAAAACTCGCCAAAAATAACACCCCCTGTTAACCACGTGTGTGTGAGGACGTGGTGGGAGAGAGAGAGAGAGAGCGGAGGAGGGGGGGGGGGGGGGGGGGGGGGGTTTTTTTTTTTTGGACCTTGTGCAAGGGCTCTATATCCCAGTGGTGGTAAGAGAGAGAGCGAGAGACATGCAATACCACTCAACCGAACATGGACGGAAAAGCACAGAAAGAGCATGAAATATATACCTGCCAGACCAGGGAAGACATTCCATCCCTACTGGCACCAGCAGAACCTGACCCATTCTCAGCCTTGGAACTGATGTCTTGATGGGATGCATGCTGGGTAGCAATGTAGAATAGGAGTTCCCCAAGTGCTGCCATGGCCCGCCTTCGCACACGATCTTGCTTGTCCCGGAGGACATCTGTCAACATAGGCACAGCTCCAGATCCCACAAACTCATCCTCAATGACCGTTGCATGCCTGATTAACAGCCCCATTACTGACACCAGCTTGATACGAACCAATGGCTGCTTCATGGACCGCAGCATCTTCACCAGAAACGACATGAGCGGGCTATTTATAAGCACATTTGCTGCATCGGTGTCCACGCAGAGGGTCTCTAAGTAGCTCAATGTGTTGATCTTCTCCTGTGCCTGAGTTGCCCCACTGATGCTACCCATTATCGCCTTCAGAAACTCATGAAGCTGTACCTATACACGCGAGGCAGACAAGATTTCAAACTGTATTACATGCCCCCTTCATATCACAAGAGAAGCCAACAGACTGACACTAACAAAGCAGGTGCGTGCAAAGGGAGCCGTGCTGCCAGCTCATCTATCCAAGGACATGTATCCTGATTTGTACATTCCAACAGTCCACCTGCGCTTCAGGATATCCGGGTGATCCACCAGGGGCCCTTGCTCAGTTGGCACTTCTGCAAACTGCTGAAAAATACAGACCTGACTTGGAATCCAGATGAAACTAGAGAAACGAAGTTCCTGAATTACCTGGTCAATGTGAAAGCTCTATTCCGTAATGTTCAGGATCCTTAATTCAAGCGCTTTGGCTAAGATCGGTCTGTAGTTCTTGATGTCTTCCCTGTCCCTTTTCTTGTAAAAGAAGCGTGACTACACTGCTGCTGAAGAATTCTCCCATACCTCCTTTCTCTCAACTGTCGTTGTAGAAGCTCATGAGATCTGTCCCCAGTATGAGTGAATTCTTTCGTTAATCCATCAATCATTTGTTTGAGCACGTACAGTTCGTCCATAGATAGAGGTTGTGGCTTGTTCTGCTGATATCATACGGTCGAGGTGCTGAACCATCTAGGCTCTGGCTTCTTTGATGCTACTCGGTATCGGGGTGGGAGTTTTTTGTTGCCTGTAGTTCTTCATAAACTACTGTTGCTATGTCCGGCATACCTGCCCTGTCTTGTAGGACCGTTTTCCTCTCGCAAAGCTTCTATGGTGTTTGATCTGCTATTGGGTTTAATCCTTGCGAAAGAAAAATGGGACGGAGGCATGATCTATCATTCTGGCTCCAATTTCAACCCCCTCGAGTTCCCATCAACTCCATAGGGCTAGCTCCGCTCTCGCTGTTCGGAATAATTCGTGGAGTAAGGGGCTGAGTTAGCGTTATTTGTGAGGTTAACTTCGGCAGCTTAAGTGCTATCTCCAAGGCCAGTTTCCCGGATATCATGGAGGCTGTTCTGGAGAGGTAGAGGTAGAGATAGCTTTTGTTGAACCATTCCCATCTGCCCTGTGCTGATAGCAATTCCACTTTGGCGTGTTGCCAGGGGTCCTGAATGCCTTCCTGAAAGATTAGAGTCGTTAGACTTCCAACAATGCAACGGGTGAAACGTGAAGTTCGAACTCGGCAGCAGAAGGTCAAATTACTGCTGGGAGGAGAGCGAAGTGGTAAAGTGAGTCTTGGAAGGACAGAGCCAGAGAAGACAAAGAATCAGTCAGATTACCCCTGAATACGGGAGGCTGCAATGCTTTTTATTTTGACGTAGTAGAAGCAAGAAAAATCAATACCTAATGAGTGGTGGTCAGTTGACTAAAGTGACTGCCTGGAAACGAATGGTGCAGTCTGAATGCACACACACACACACACACACACACACACACACACACACA